CACATGGTCCATCTAGTCCTCCCCTACCATGCAGGAAAAGCACATTCAAAGTACCACTGAAAGATGGTCAGCCTTGGTTTAAAAGTATCCAAGGATGGAGCTTCCCCCACACTCTGAGCAGAGAATTCAACTGTTGGACAGCTCTCACAGTTAGGAAGTTCTTCCTAATGTTCCTGTTATTTGAAGCCATTGCTCTGGATCCTAGTTGTTTATATCTTTTTGGGTAATGACTTTGTAAAAAAGTGAGTGCAGCCTAGTATGTCTCTATGGTCCCATAGAGACATACTTGGCTCTATTATCTATGATAATGCATCCCCTTCACCAGGGAATATTCAAACGAGGTGTCCAAACAATGCCTCATGATAATGAAATTAACCTAGAATAAATTGGGAAATCCAGGTTTATTCCAGGTTAAAAAAACACCTCTAAAGATCTGAATCTTCCAGGAAGGTCCACATCTTTGGAGGTCTGGAGTCTGTGGAGACTGCTCCTGAAATTGCTACCATGCATGCTCTCAGGAGCAGTCTCCATAGCAATCCTGTCTCCACAGACTCAAGCAACCCATGGAGGAGGAAAGACAGTTCCAGTCTCCCCTTCTCTCCCCCATCCTGGTTGTAGGTCAGTAAGGCTCCTTACCAAGTGTGGAGGCTTCTAAATGACTCATGGAGCCCTGGAGGGGGAATTCCCTTCTCCAGAACTCAACTGAGTCATTTATGCTTTTCCTTTTTGTAACTTTCTACATTCAGGAAAGGAGGGCAGGCGGCCAGTGGTCAAACCTCACCCATTATTATTGTGAATCGACGTAAACGTGGCTACCCCTCACTAAAAATGCAATGTTTTGGCCCTCTGTGTGGGTGCCAAATTCACATGAAACCAGCATTTTAAACACCTATTTCTTGCAAAGTTACTTTTACAATGATAAGAGCCCCATCCCTCCAAAAGGAACTTTCCCAAGCTCAAGTCTGTGAAACTGCACTATCAACTGCTTACTTAAGCTTTCCTAGGTGACATAATTCAAATTTAAACATAGAATGGTTCTAATATAATTGGAAATATACTTTTCTGGCAGATTTTTGGTGGAGACGTTAGATACTTTCATATGATATTTTTTTATCCAGTTTTAAAAGGATCTTTTTCTTTATGCATTGTAATTGCTTGCATAGTGGGTGCTATTAACATGTAAATAAGTACCATACTGTACTGTGTTATTTACTTTACCAGTCTATTCCTTATATTTAGAATGAATACAGCATTGAGGCTTTATATCATGCCACAGTAAATGTTTACTTTTTTGGTGCCAATAGTATGCATGACTGTCTTTACTGAGTCTGAAACTTTGCTCTTTTTAGTTTATGTTACAAGTTTTACATCTAGCATAAGGACTCTTTGATTCTTTGTCTGAGATTTGTTTAGTACAGATTAAAATTGCTTGTACCTGCACTTTACATGAAAATTGATGGTATACAAATAGCATGACTGGTAAATTGTTTGGAGAGAAATCAAACATGTAGTGTTTTAAGACCTCACTGGTATTTTTGAAATGTTATGGTGTCAGAATATTGTTTAAAACTATCAACCTATTTTATTTTTTATTTTAATTACTAACCTTTTGTAACATTAGTTATAGATCAATACCCAGAGAAATCCAGTGGGGATGGAAAAGTGTTTTGCAGGAGAGTTTTTTGTTGTCTATCCACAGACTCTCTTCTTAATGAGCAAGTCATTTTGCTATCATGGTCAATACTTTGAAGATCCCATATGGTTCTACATACTTGTTTCAGTTATTAGTTGTTTTTGCTTGTTTGGATGTGTTATTGTTTGGAAATATTAACTTATATTAATTTACTGCCAAATTTCTGCCAACCTAGCAGTTTGAAAACATGCAAATATGAGTAGATCAATAGATACCACTCCAGTGGGAAGGTAACGGTGCTCCATGTAGTCATACCAGCCACATGACCTTGGAGGTGTTTACAGAAAATGCTGGCTCTTCGGCTTAGAAATGGAGATGAGCACCAACCTCCAGAGTCGGACATGACTGGACTTAATGTCAGGGGGAAACCTTTACCTTTACCTAATGTACTGTACCTTCAAATCCCTATACCCCCTACCTAACAATATGTCCATTTCACCCTCCTCAAGTAAAAGAAATAAGTCCTAATAATTTAGTAAACTTTTCTTCTGAGTAGACATGCATACAAGATTTCACTTTAACATTCTGATTGTAAAAAATGTTAGTACAGTAGAGTCTTACTTATCCAACATAAACAAGCCAGCAGGATGTTGGATGTTGGATAAATGAAAATGTCAGATAATCCCAGAGGCTTCTGGGATTATAAATTCATATCTCTATCCTGGCAGAGATCAGTGGCGAGTAAGCTCTCTTTCTCTTTGGTTTTCCACACACTCGGAGAAAACTCACTCACCACTGATGGAAAAAAGAGCAACAAACAAGAATTGTAACAAAAAGGTAGATAGTACACTTACACAAATCCTCAAGACAGCTGCCCATCTTCATTCTTTTCTCTTCTTTTCTCTTCCCATATTTCCTACAAACTCCCGCATAGCTACGGATCCTCCTTCCAACTCAGACTGAACAATTTCTGCATGTGGTGGGGGGGGGGGCGGGAAGGCAGAAACATTATGCTCTGGCTCCTCCTTCAGAGTCCACTCAGTGGTACCGTCCAAAATGGGGAAGAAAGAAGGAAACTAAAAACATGGCCTCTAAAGGAAAAATGCTGGAGGAAAGGGGGCATTGGATAAAAGTATTGGATAACATGGAAGGTCGGATAAGTTAAGGACGGATAAGCAAGACTCTACTGTACTCAAGTTTCTCTTCAGTCAGGGCAATGGAATATGTTGTCTTGGAGTGTGATTGTGTCTCCTTCTTGGCAGGTTTTTAAACAGTCTGTCAGGACTGTTTTGATTGTATTTTTCTGCATGGCAGGAGGTTAGACTGGATGGCCCTTGTGGCCTTTTCCAGATTTTGTTTCTATGATTCTAGGATTGTGTTATAGATCTAACACTTCATTACATTTCAGTTGTGGAATGAGTATTTAAATAAATATTTTGAATGGGAAAATGTGTAATGACCTCATCAGACGCTTTCTGGAATCGCCATGCATTGTGGCAAATATGGTGGTGTCACTGGGGGCATGGGTAACCCGTTGCCCCACTCCACACATTGCCTGACTCGCCTGTCACCCCATCTCAAGGGCGAAGTGTCAGCCACCCGGCTTCCCTCCACTTATCTATATAGTAACATGGGAAGCCTCCTTCCCTTTCGTGATGGAGCTCCACCGGAAGTGACTCTACATCATGGGATGGGAGCTGGCAGGTGCCATTGCAAAAGGGAAGATCAACCGGCATATGCTACCGAAAAGAACCCTGTCTGATGAGGTCATAAAAGAAGGTATCAAAAATCATGTTGTGATGGACTCCATGTCACAATTGACTTGTTGCTCATCAATGAACAAAAATAGTTCTGAAAAGATAAATACTCTGTGAATTGGTAGCCATTAGGTTCAGGAATTATGCAAAAAGTTTAGAAGGAATCCTTAATCAGTCTACATCTCGTTGAATTATGGGTGCACATTTTGGGAATATTCCAAGGTTCTTCTTTGTCACTGGAAAATCAGATAGCCTGGCTTAGGCCTCTTCACACAGCTGAATAAAATCCCACATTTTCTGGAGTATTGCAGTGTAGATTCAGATAAACCACTTCAAAACAGATATGGTGGAGTTTACTGCCTTGATATTCTGGGTTATATAGCTGTGTGGAAGGACCCTTAGAGGATTAAAGTGCTTTTGGACAGTTTTGATCAGCTCACCTGCTGTGGCATTGGTTGAACAGGTGACAACAGCAGTTCATACAGTGATAACTAGGTTGTTGCAATGTGCTCTGTGCAGAACTCCCCTCAAGAATGATAAAGAAACATGTGCCATGAAAATTTAGTTTAGAATTTAAGGTGTTGTAACACCTTTTTTTCTTTAGGTTGTAATATTTTACTTTGTCAATCCCACTAGAATTTTCATGGCAAATTCTACTTTTTGCTATGTGATGAATACAGATTTAGAAGAAATTAGTTAGGAGCTAGTGATGAGTGAATTCACGTGTCAATAATATAGAATCTGACTGGCAGTTTTACAGAAAATATATATGAAAGATACTCTGGGGTTTTTCATTCTTCAGCATCACTTGTGGCCTGGATTGAAAATCTATCATTCCATAATATCACCATTCCATAATATCCCACTTCATTATGGGAAGAAATAGGATCAAAGACTGCTATGAATAGAAAAGAGATGGTAGGTGCATAGTTCCCACAGAAGAGTCTGGGAAGTAAAGAATTGCAGGACTGGGAAAAGGCAGAATTTGGTAAATTTGATGAAGCTGCACCCCCACACCTCATTGAGAAGGCACTTTTTCAATATCAACCTTATTTAAATTTGCAAAAGAAAGTTTTTGTTCGTTGTGTGTTCCCATGTTCCATTTTTTTGGGTATGGTTATGTGTATGTGTACAGGCCATATTGTGGCATTAATGCTATTTGTTTGTGACATATAATGTTCTGAATGGTCTATGTGGATAATCAGAGAGCCTGTCTTGATGCAAAACATCACACTAAGGGCTCTTCCAGACAGGATCCAAAATGCGGGCCCTGTTGGACTTTTACTTGAGGCATCCAAACGATGCCTCAAGTAAAAGAAGATTAATTCAGGACAAAGCAGGAAAATCCTGCTTTATCCCGAATTAATTAGAAACTCCATTCAACCTGGGCCTTCCTGAAAGCTTCTTAAACCGGCTTCATCATGGGTTTCAGCTATGTGTTGAAGTGCCCATAATGGCTACCTGTCCTCTTAAACCGTATGATTCATAGCAGGTTTTTTTAAAAAAAACAAAACAAAACAAAATGATTTCTTCAAGTATGAGAAGGAAAAGATTAGCCTTCCATAAGCTGAAAATATATAATTATATGTTCTTTTCGTCCCCTCTCCCAGACATGGGATGTAGAGTTGGAGAGATCAGCACAGTCCTGGGCTGAGACATGTCTTTGGGAACATGGCCCTGCAAGTCTTCTCCCATCCATTGGACAGAACTTGGGAGCACATTGGGGAAGGTATGTAGAAAATAATGTGAAAATACAATTTTTTAACCACATGTAATTTGTTTTTATTTAAAAAATCAAATCAGATAGTGGTATGATTTTGGAATTTCTTTCACTCTCATTTGTAGGTACAGACCATTAACATTTCATGTCCAAGCATGGTATGATGAAGTGAGAGATTTTAGCTATCCTTATCCTCAAGAATGCAATCCTTATTGCCCATATAGATGCACTGGTCCTGTGTGCACCCATTATACACAGGTGGGTATGCTTTTTATAAAACTTAATAATTACTTTGTGTGTATGAATTTGATACAGATATTTTGCAAAGACATAAAACAACTGAAAGATGATGATGATTATCCCCACCTTCCTCCCAGTTTGGGACTCAGAGTTGTTTATAATAAATTAAAAACCACAAATATAAAAGTTTAAAAAAGAATAAATGATAAACCATAAACTATGAATTATCAAAAATAAAAATAAAACCCAGTTAAAACAGTTAAACAAACATATTTTCACACAGCAACACAACAATTAGGAAAATATAGTACATTGTTTAGGTAGGATGAGCCCCATATAACGATTTATCAAATGCTTGTAAAACAGAAAAGATGTTACTGATATGTAATAAGAAATTAGGTAGAGTGCCAGTCGAACTCCATAGGGAAGGGAGAAAGCTCTTTTTGTGTTCCTACCAATTGTACAGTACCTGAGAAGGTAGTGGGACTGAGGCTCCTTTTACACTGCCATATAATCCAGATTATTAAATCAGATAATCCACATTATCTGTTTTGAACTGGATTATATATATCTACATTACCATAAAATCCAGTTCTAAAGGTATAATCTGGATTTATATGGCAGTTAGAAGGGGCCAGAGTAAAGGGTCTTTCCAGGTCTCACAGTATGTGCAGGTTTGTAAGGAAGAATTGGTCCATGAAGTCATCTGGACCTGAGCTATATCAGGATTTTTAGATCAAAAGCATTACCTTGAATTGTGCCTGGAAATCGACCGCACCACTTGCAATAAGGGAATTGCGTGTTCCCTATAGCTAGTTCCAATTAGCTAACTGGTTACAGATGTTTGGACCAGATAAAGTTTGTATTTGAAGCTACTGCTATAATGCCCCCCCCCCCCATTTTTCCTTCTTTCTCCTTTCATAATAGGGCTAGGAGGCAAGATAGGCAGCATCTAGCAGGTGTGATTGGCTGAATTGGCACAGTAATTTTTCCCCTCTGTCTACAATCTAGCTCTGTGCCTAAGGATTGCTGCAACTAAATATGAGTAATCTAAATCAATGGGTTACAAACAGTCACATATACATTATCAAGTGTTGACCAATTTCCCTAAAACAGTGATTGCTTAGTTGTATTGATAAAAGTTCATTTTGATCTTTATATTATACTGGCTTTTTCTGTCTGGGTTCATAATCCATAGGAAGAGAGCCAATATAGAATATAAAGAGCAAGATTATCCATGATTGCTTTTTCTGTGTTTGTATTTATTATACTCATTTGTCTTAGTTTGAATCAGGTGTTTATCTCCCTGATTTTTTTTTGTCTTAGGTGGTATGGGCAACAAGTAGCAGAATAGGTTGTGCTGTTAACTTGTGTCATAACATGAACGTCTGGGGGCAGATATGGCCAAAAGCAATTTACCTGGTGTGCAATTATTCCCCCAAGTAAGTATACATAGAMAACAGGTAAATTGATTACTATATGGAGCACAGAAATGCATGTGAAAGTTCCAGTTTAAACTAGAGAAAGTAGGAAGATACTTCAAAAAGCTTGGAAAAATATAATTTTTAAGATGCAGTTCCAAAATCCCCCCCCCCCTCGCCAGTATTGCTGCTATTTTTTCAACATAGGGATTTACTTATCTGTCTCTTATTAACTCCATATTCTTCCCTGTCCCTGGCTTCCTTGTGAGTTGGTGAATGTTAAACATCCTCTCTTCCCTACCATTACTTCTTTTCCCAAGATTTTCACTACAATCTTTTTCGTCTTAAAAGTAGTGGGTGCTGTAGCTTGAAGACCTCTGTGATCAACTGCTGCCCAAGCAGAATTCAGATACATATTATGCCTGCTAAAGGGGAGCTGGTCACAATGATCGTAACAGAACCAAAGTGTTTCATTCTTGTATTTGGGCTTGTGGATGTGATTGCAGTGCAATTACAAAAGCCATGATCTGGAGACCTAAATTTGGGAACTACTGTTTCATATAGTGTAAGACAATATAAGACCAGTAGGTCATGTTGGAGAAACAGCATTGTTTCTTGTGGAATTTTGGCACAGTGCAACACTAATGAAGTTCAAGTGTTCCAACATAAATATCATTTAGTCCAAAATCACAACATTCCAGGCATTCTTTACAATCTGCCAAGTCTATTTATGAAGATAATCTGCTTGTTTTGTAACAGATTATTAAAAGATATCTGATTGGCAGCAATTCAGCTGAATTATGGTGATCTTACATGGTGTTAAATAAGGTTACACTCAGCTGTGAAAGTGCTTGGCTTTGGAACAGATGTTCAGAGCAATCTTATAGGCAAGTTGTGGTGGTAGGTAGCAGTAGAATAGACACTATATCTTTTAAGCACCCACCCGAAGAAGGCAGAGGAAAACCACCAGAAGTTCCATAAATCGTTTTCTAGGAGAAAAGTTGCTCCTAGAATGAAAACACTGCCAAAGCTCAAAGTAATGAAACCTCCCAAAAATGGGATGCATAGTAACTATTTATGAAAAGTTTAGAGATAAGCCAGAGAGGAAGTAGGGAAAAGGTGGTGAAGCTACATGAAAGTTCATTCAACATTGGTGCTCCAGCCTCCCCATTGTGGTGGAAGGGGTAGGAACTGCAGTATCATTGAGTATTTATGCCCCTTGGACTTGGTAATGCAGTTATGTGTGTAAATAATAAACATTTTGTACTATTCAGTTGGTGTAATCAAAACATGAGAGATAAACCAAGTGAGCAGACAGGAGCCAAATAGCCAAGTGAGTAAATGGTGGCCAGGCTTACTTTTTTGGACAGTACTGAACAGCACTCCAAGTCCATACCTTTCTAATTAGTTCTGATTTTGAAATATATTCAGCAAAATAATCCATATAGATGATTTATCCTTTATATTTTTGGGGAAATTGTCAGAACAATTGTGAGAGAACAAACCTATTTCTTTGATATATAAAAGTGCTCCACAGTGTTTTCCTTATATTCTATCCCTTGGTATTCACAATTATTCTGTCCATTTCCTAAAATACCTAAAAGATTACACTAATTAGATGGTGCAAAAATGTTTATTATTTACACACCTGGGTTATAAGACCTGAATAAAATGGCTAGCTGTTGAAACTGGCAATTCAGCTTAATACTGAATCTCACTGCAGTCTGATATCAGAAAAGTGCTGCACATTGGCTGGGGGCATTCTTCACTATTGTGCCAAGGAGTTCCCACCCGCTAATTGAAGAAAGGGGACTTGCTGGGTTCACATTTCTTTCTTTGATGCTTTCTCTTTGATGCTTTTGCCTGTTTGTTAATGAAGTTTTGTAATCTTAACCACTTGTGTGTTACTGCCTTTGAATCCAAATAGAACCTTTGCTTCTGGCAAAACATATCCAAGATGTGGTCCTGGCAGGAAAAAGTACACATAATCAGTTGTGGCAGAATGCCTAAATTTTGCCAACAGAAAGATAATATGCATTCAAATTGGTGCTTCCCTTATTTTATTCTCCCTTTATCAGTGATAATGCACTTTGCAGATGGAGAGTTCTGGCTTTGCTCTATTATAACACTGGCCTATCAAGCATTTTACTTGCAAGGTGTGGCTTCCTTCAAATACAATAATGGGAAAGATTTCAACCCTGCTTAGAATCAGATGTGGATGTTGCCAAGTATTAACTATGCTCTTCTGTTTACAAAGGGTACTTACAGTGCCTGTCATTCAATAAAATCTCTCCAGTGACTAACTTGCCCCTTTGCTTAGTATAATATATTATGGAAGTACCATTTATTAAATGTAACTCTTTGCTAATTTATCTATAGTTCATGGTCTAGGCTGCTATCTACAGTTCTTGATATTTTTTTAAAAGGAGAATGACTAGTGCTCATTCTCATGAAATCGACAGCTACAGTGGATGACAAAGGGTTTGTTGTGGGTATTAATATGAGTACTGTTTAAATAAGTGGTGAGTCATTTTAGCTGTGTGAAACATAATAGATATTGTAAATCTATTTCATTAAATAATATTCTTTTTCCTAGGGGTAATTGGTGGGGACATGCTCCATATAAACATGGCCGTCCATGTTCTGCATGCCCACCTAGTTTTGGAGGAGGCTGTAGAGAAAATCTGTGTTATAAAGGTATGCATTTGTTGGTATTGTTAAATGACTTTACAGTGCTGTCATGTACAATATTTATAAATATTAAATAATTTCAGTAACACTCTAAATTGCCAACTTTACATTTTTGTTGGTATTCAAAGGGGAAGGTGGTTCATGACTTGATGAGGGATTTTGTCTGTTGAACAAGGGCTTCTTCATATACTTGGGCTGTGCAAAGGGACTTTGTAGAGAAGAAAAGCACAACTGATGGCAGTTGTTATATTCTAACAGGTTTTTTCTGATCATGTCAGTAGTTCAAATAAGTCATGTTATCTAATAATTCCTCTAATAATAGAGCTGGAAATAACAGTGAAAAAAGAAGACGCTTTGCTTTCTGCAATAACATCTCCATTTTATCGTTCATTTAGTGCCAATTTATATGGACATTTATCTTGAAAAGGGGGATGGGATATAAATCAACTCTCTGGTGGTTTCATGATATACACATCTGATTTGGGTTAATATGGGCCAAAGCCACTAAATGTGGCCTAGAACCATGTTTACAAAAGTTGTAGGATATTCCAGAGCTCCCTTGAAATTCAGAAGCTTAGCCATATTTTGGTCAAGTGTAAACAGTTGTACTACTTCCTATGTGGAAAACAGCTGTGGCCATGTTTACACCACCATCCTGCTTTCCCAGGGCTTAGGCAGCTAAAGTGGGTGGCCTATGGTATGCACTTTCTGTCATGACTGAGTGAAACAATGGTTGGTATCTAGTACAAACATTTTAAATCAGAACTGGGAAAATGCACCTGTCTGGATGCTGTTGGACAGCAGCTACCAAAAACCCAAACCAGCAAAACAGTGAGGATGGATGCTCTTGAGTTCAGTCAATAATGTTTGGACGTCCACATATTACCTACTTAAGCTTTACAGTGTAACCCTATGCATGCCTACAGAGGAGAGATCCTCACTAAGCCTGATGAGTCTTTCTTCAAAATAAATGATTGTAGACGTTTCTAGAAAATAAAATCTGGAAATGCTTAAGGCTGTAATGCTATCAACTCCTGAGAGATTATCATGATTATCAAGATATATCTGAAATTTTCACCATTTACATTTTCAATCTTTCAGTGTGCCTGTTTTCAAAAAATAGTATTTCTTTCTTTCATTTGCTTTGACAGAGGGTTCAGAAAGAGTTTACTCTCCAGAGATGGAAACCAATGAAATTGAACGTCAGCAGTCACATGTTCGAGAGACATCACAAAACAGATTGAGGTCTCATTCTGCTGATGACAGTGAAAGAAATGAGGTCATCAGCAAACAACAAATGTGTAAGGAAAATATATTTAAATGTTTTAATTGGATTCCCAAGTGCACAGGAACACTGTAATAATGTTGGTTCCTTTCTCTTCAGCGCAAATTGTTTCATGTGACGTGCGATTGAGAGATCAGTGCAAAGGAACAACTTGCAATAGGTAGGATCAACATGATAATTGATCAAGAATCCATTTAACCAACTGCATGTTTTGTTAAGAAAGCTTATTTTATTATTATCCTTTTCAAACCTATTTTTCTAGGTATGAATGCCCTGCCGGCTGTTTGGACAGTCATGCCAAAGTTGTTGGAAGTGTTCATTATGACATGGTAAAAATATTAAAATTTGTATTCAGTCTAATTCAGTGGTTCTCAACCTGTGGGACTCCAAATGTTTTGGCCTGACTGGAATTTCTGGAAGTTGTAGGCCAAAACACCTGGGGACCCAAAGGTTGAGAACCACTGGAACCCTATTTGAGTTCATTTTTAAGCCAGAAAGGTTAATTCAAATGTTATTGTTGACAAAACATTATATGCAGAAAATGTGATTACCTTTCTGATTTCTACCTTGAAGCTGATTCTGTTTTGTATCTGTATCATATTAGGAGTTTTCTCCTCCCTTCATAGACAATTTCATATTTTCTAAACATATGTATTTTTTAAAATGTGCATTTTCTCCAATTAACTTAAATATATTTCAGTGGGTTGTCATATGTATTCACACTTCATATGCATTTGTTTTAATTAAACCATGCATTGATTAACTACCCATCTGAGATATGAAGATCTGATTGCATACTCCAAAAATACAGATATTCAATAGCAAATCGCATTTAGGTCAGTGTTTAATTGAGAAGAGGTACAAACTTGATGAACTGTTCAAAAACAGAGTGAAACAAATTTTGATCCCATCTCTACCTTTAAAAAAACCCAAATTTTATTAGTGTTCCCATTCAGCATTAGACACTTGAATATACACCTCATATGAATAATAATTCAGAAGCATAGTTGGAGTAACATGAAATATCTGACATCATTATATAACTTTGCTCAATTAGATTGAAGCTAGCGTTTGTTGATTTGGTTACCTTCTTAGACACCTCAATATTTTATTTGGGAAATTAATGCTTCTCCCTTTTAGAAATATAATGAGGAAAATATTTTATTTTATTTTTCTTTTACCTTCATAGCAATCAAGTATTTGCCGTGCTGCAATACATTATGGCATCATTGACAATGATGGTGGTTGGGTTGATGTTACCAGACAAGGAAGGAAACATTATTTCATTAAGTCCTACAGAAATGGAGTACAGTCAATTGGGTAAGGAAACAAATGGTCATTGTATCAGAGTACTTTGTTACCAGGTTTTGTCATAATTTACTTAAGATGCATCTACACTGTAAAATGTATGCATTTTGACTTCCATGGGGCAATACTATGAAATCCTGGGATTTGTAGTTTGGTGAAACACCAGCATCTTTTGGCAGAAAAAGCAAAATAATTTGTAAAAACTACGACTTCCATGATTTCATAGCATTGAGCCATGACAGTTAAAGTGGTGTCAAATTGCATTTATTCTACAGTGTAGATGCACCCCTTATTACAGTAGATGATTGAAAAAGGTGTAAAATCATTGAACAATTATACAGGTTGAGCATCCCGATTCTGGAATTCGGAAATCCAAAGTGTTCAAAAATCTGAAATTGTTCATGTTGATAGTTGAGGCTGTGACATCTTTGCTTTATGATGGCTCACTGTACACACATTTTGAGGAACAAAGTATGATAAAACAAGGTGGTAGGGTTAATATGTCCAATACTGATAGGGCAGAAATTTTAATATCTGATGGTTCAGTGTACACAAACTTTGTTTCATTTGCAAAACTATTAAAAATATTGTCAAAATGGACCCCAAGCTATGTGTTAAAGGTGTATGTGACACATCAGTGAATTTTGTGTTTAGACTTGAATCCCATCCCCAAGATAACTCAATATATACCAATATACATATGCAACCCCCCCCCCCCCCATTCAAAATGCTTCTGGTCTGAATGCTTGCAGATAAGGGATACTCAACCTGTTTGTTGTTGTTCATTCGTTCAGTCGTCTCCGACTCTTCGTGACCTCATGGACCAGCCCACGCCAGAGCTCCCTGTCGGCCGTTACCACCCCCAGCTCCCTCAAGGTCAGTCCAGTCACTTCAAGGATGCCATCCATCCATCTTGCCCTTGGTCGGCCCCTCTTCCTTTTGCCTTCCACTTTCCCCAGCATAATTGTCTTCTCTAGGCTTTCCTGTCTCCTCATGATGTGGCCAAAGTACTTCAACTTTGTCTCTAGTATCTTTCCCTCCAGTGAGCAGTCGGGCTTTATTTCCTGGAGGATGGACAAATATCAATATATTGAGTTCGTGGTGAAAAACGATATAATAGCTATGACACATTCCAGTTTTTCCAAGATCTACAGAGTTCCTGATGTATTTCCCTTCCCCACATCTATAGTTAGTGATATTCTCAAGGTTAATCTCCCCCAACCCAGCAAAATTACTTATGGATCTCTCCTTGTTACACCACCATTCCTCCCTTTTACCCTGTGATTTTTCTGTTTCCATTTAAAAGCCTGAACTCTTTTTGTTTCATTTTCCTTTCCCTTTGGTTTTCTCCTTGCAAGGTAAGTATTCTCTTCCTTTTCATACCAACACAATGATTGCAGATTGCAAAGAGCAAACTGCTTCTGTAGGCTGCTCCTGCCATCCCCTTCCTGATATTCCACTATAAGGTGTGGTTAGGGAAAAAAAAGATGAGTTTGTCCCCTCCAGCAAGAACTAAGGTTAATTTAGCAGGGAGAAAATTGTTTTTGGAGTGGAAAAGTATTTGTAAAAACTTGATGGAGAGAAAAAAGGGGTGGGTAGGTTAAACTGAAAACGGCACTTCATGCACTAAAACATATCTTCTGCACAGAAAGCGAGTTTCCTCAAGTGAAAACATTTTTTTTCTGCACAGAAAATTTATTTTCTATGTAGAGAACAACATTAGCAGTGCAGAAAATACTGTGGGGTGGTGGGTTATTTTGCACAAACCTCAGATGTGGACTGAATTGCAAATAGTCCTTAAAACTGCATTTTTCAAGGACATACTCTCATAGCAGAGAGAAAGCTGTTATATTGCTTGATCTTGCCAATGAAAATGAAAATTACAAAGATTTACTATGTCTCTCTTTCCCTATCTTCCTCTCTGGCCAAGTGGTGGATGAGATGGATGGATTATTCTTGCTAGGCAACTGAACTGACAATTAGGCTCAGGGGTGCAAGAAATCAGGGGAAGCTACATTCAAACTGCTTTTGTTGCCCTTCATGTAACCTATGTATTTTTAATATGGTGGCTAGGTAGTTCCTAAACACTCATCACAGTTAGGATTCAGTAACTCATATGCTTTCTTGAAGACCAAAGTATTTTCTTAGTTCCAACAATCATGGTTATAATAGTAAAGAGTAGAAAATCCTGGAATGTGTAGCAAGGAAAAGTAATGTAGTTTATAGAAATATTCGTAAGCCATAGAACAGTATAAACTTGATAGTCAGCATCTAATTATAAACTTTTGTGGTATGATAATGAAAATGTCAAATAATAGATATTCCATGTGTCTAAAATGTTATATCAGTTTTGATTAAAATTATAAATGTAATGCAAATTGCTTAGAAATTTATTTTGCTTCCATTTCTATTATTTCTGGTTTTAAATATGCCCAAGTCACAATATGATTTTGAGGTATTTTACTGTTCTACATTATGATTGCACATCACCATCACAATATGTGTTGTGTTGCCTGTGGGAAACCATGATGATATAATAATAATAATGCTGGTGCTCTTTTCATTGCAGGAAGTACCAGTCTGCTAATTCCTTCATAGTTTCTAAAGTAACAGGTTAGCGTTTTTTGATATTATATAATTATGTTGGTTTATTTCTTTCTCTTCCATTTTATTGCATATTTTTGTGGAATTGTAATTTTTGTTTTAAATCTCAGTACAGGCCGTCACTTGTGAAACAACTGTGGAACAACTGTGTCCATTTTACAAACCAGCTACACATTGCCCAAGGTAAACAAAATAGTCCTTCCCATTGTTTAACAACAACAACAGCGACAACAACAAAAACAATGCTTTATTTGTAGACTGCCCTATCTCACCAAAGAGACTCAGGGTGGTTTTCAACATGTATGGCAAACATTCACTGCCAAAAAGAGAAAAGCATACAAACAAATTATATCAGGACAGAATACATTGAGCAACATAAAAACAACCTAAATTTAAACTTAATACCAAACAAAATAACTGACAATGAAAACTCAAATGACCCATTATTGTGTCCACAACTCAGTGAATCTATAATTAATTTTCCTATCCTTTCTGCTATGGAATAGATTTAGGGGAAGGTAAGATTTCCATGGGAAAGGGAAAAGTAAAATCTTATATGTTGTGAGATTTCAGTTATAATCTTTTTCCTTCATTGATTTATTTCTCTTTTCATTAAGTGTAATGTTAGATATTTTTATTGTAATCATTTCATAGAATATTTATATCTGAAAATTTATCTTGTTTTCTTGTTTCCTATGATTTAAGGTTGTATTGTCCTCACAATTGCATGCAGGCAAATCCACACTATGCAAGAGTAATTGGATCACGGATTTACTCTGATGTAAGTAAAAGGTCATGTTTGAACCCTAAAATAATTGCATCTATACTAGTATTAATATGCCTATAAAACAAGGTTAAAAGGGTAGAGTATCCAAATATTAAAATTCCAGGTTCAGTAGAAGTTCAGACTCAGTAGTATTCATACAAGCAGGTAATGGTAATAAATTCTTCTTTTTTTATTAGAATTTTATTAATTTTATATAGATTACAATGAAAGAGTGAGAACAATAAAGTATAAGAAAGTGAGGAAATGAAGAAAAAAAAGAAAAAAGAAGAAGCAAAAAGTATGCTACAATCCCAAATAACCCCTAAAAAATTAAAAAAAAAATAACTACAAAAATACACAAAACACACAAAAAAAGAGAAAAGAAAAACAAAAAAAATGACTTCCATTCCATCTTCTTGGATCATATCTTCTTATTATTCAAAAATATAAAATAAGTTCTAAACGAAATTGTCTCTCTTGTTTCTTATTTTCCCAATTTGTCCAGATATTCATGGAGATTATCCCAGTTCGTTCTTCTTAGTATCATACCTGTATTTTTCTTCAACAAAAAAGTCAATTCATCCATGTCCTATCTCATCCCGTATTTTCTTCTTTGTGAATTGGACTCGGTATATTTGATCCACCTCTTGCTCAAGCTCATCCTCCTCCACCTCCAAGACCCTGGCCAGGAGATTTAACACTGTTGACCTTATGTCTTGCTTTGAATCTTCTTGCATATTTCTTAGCCTTAATTGATAATCCATTTGTTTTTGTAGTATTTTTTTCTTGTTCTAATCCCATTCTTTCTTTTTGTTTCTCCAGTGACTTAATTTTCTTCATAATTTTCGCCTGTGTCTCATCTGTTTCAATTTTTCCCGCTTTTAAAACTTCCACCTCGCCTGCCAGATTGTTTAGTTCTTTCTTCAACCCTCCAAACTCTTCCTTCATTTCTTTTTTCATATCTTTAAGATCCTTATCTAATTTCTTGTAATGTTCTTCTTGTTTTTTGTAGTATTCTTCTTGTTTGTCTGTCATATCCTTCTTCATGGCATCTTGTTTTTCAGAAAGCTTCTTAATCTCCTTTAGAATATTCTCCATATTCACCCCTCTATCTAAAGATCCTCTTCTCAGCTGTGTCTATGTCTGTAATTCCTTCTCCTTTTCTTTCTCTGCTTTCCCCTTTGTTGACATTTAAAAGCCAATTCACTTTCTTTAACTGCTTGTAATTGCTTATAACTTGTTTCACTTATTGTTGCAATTTCTATATGAGTAGATTTGTATTTTATTCTTAATTAAATTCCAGTTCATTAAAAATTAATATATATTTAATCAATTATTCAGTTAATCAACTAATTTAAAATTAATCAATTAATTTGAATACAATTTAATTATTTTCCTCCCATCCATTAATCAGTTAATCAGTTAATCAATTAATCATTAATTTCCCTTCAATTAATTCATCAATCAACTTTGGAGTAAGATCTGAGTATGCTTTTAAAGATTTAAAAGCCTCTAATTAATTTTATTAATTTTGTTATCGTCTGCTTCTCGGCCTGGTCTTATTTTGCGTCTGCTTCTCGTCCTCGTCCGCTGCCCGTCTGCTTCTCCTCCTCGTCCATCGATCGTCTACTTCTCCTCCTCGTCTGTCACCCGTCTGCTTCTCTTCCTTGTCTTTATTCTTTAAATTCCTCCTTTATTGCCCTCAGAGAATGATCTGTGTCTTAATTATTAGACCACTTCCTAACTCCGTTTGCCTCTTCCGGCCTTCTTTGCTTTGCTATCTTCTTCACTTCTGCCCTTGTGCTCTTATGCTCTTCTCTGCCCTTTAAAACCTTTTTGGACCTTTGGACTACCACTCCCAGCCTGCACTGCTCTCTTCTTCCTGTGTTGTTCCACAGCAGCCTTCCGTTTCGTCAGTTCCTATCTTGCTTTTCTTCAATTGTTTATAAAGAAGGCCAGCATAGACCAAACAACAATGGAGCCAAGGTCGTTTCTCCTCACACTGTAAGCTAATTCAATTTCTTGTAGTGCCCATTAAAGTCTCTAATTTAGATAGCAGTGCGGGGGTGTAGCCTAATGTTTAGAGGAGAGTACAAGGGTCCCGATATTTATAAAGTTCTATTTTCTTTGATACTTTTTAAAATACTTATACCAAATCCTTTAGACTTTAAAGTTCATCCAATTTAAAATCAACTTATAAAAACACTCTTCTGATTATAGATTCTCTCCTTTACTATCTTCTTCTTTTCTCCTTATAAAAGTACTTGATTTAATCCCTCTTTGCCTAGATTCCGAGGGGTAGGTCCCTCCCCCTCTTATATTACCTTGAAGATGAAATTTCTTTTTTCAGGAACACAGTCCCTTTAGCTCCCAGAGATGAGATTTCGTTGTTCTTTGAAATTCTTATTTTAAAAATGGGGTGGAGGCGGTTGGACAAGCTCAGCCGAGCCTGATCCTGTAGAGCAGCCCGCTCCCCTTTTGGTGCTCTCAGATCCTTCAATTCCCCCTTAATAGGGGGGCCTTGGGGTCTTCAAAGCACCCAGGGGATTTACGATCACCTTCGCCTTCGATCCGGTCAAAGGTGGGGAGCTATAGCTCGACCTCGCCACTCAAAACAGGTCCTCCCTGAGAGAGCTTTCCCTCAGCGAGGCTTCCCCGTCGCCATTCCCACCGGAATGTAATTTCTTGTAATCATGAAACCATCTTGAATTCGTGTTTTCAACAGGTCCTCCCTGAGAGAGCTTTCCCTCAGCGAGGCTTCCCCGTTGCCATTCCCACCGGAAGTCCATGGTAATAAATTCTTATGGTTATAGTATAACTCTTAAAACTGAATTAGGATGCTAAATATTTAATTTTAGAGATCTATTTTTAAACTATACTTTTTGAATTTGTTAGTTATACAGAAAAGGACATTTTATCTTGTGCATTTGGCCCGCCCATTGTGTTCAATGTTTCACTATGTTATTTTGCACTGCTTATTTTATTTTGTTACTTTATGTATGTTATGGTGATGTAATTTTTCTTTTGTTGTTTTGTATTTTATTTGGCTGTATTGTATCTTCGGGCTTGGCCTCATGTTAGCTGCCCCAAGTCCCCTCTGGTGAGATGGTGGTGGGGTATAAATAAAGATTATTATTATTATTGTTGTTGTTATTATTATGGTTTTGAAACACAATTCTTTAGACAGGCAGAAGTGGGTGGAAATCTTGTTAATTGCTGATGAAGAAACATTGGATGCTTTCGGTAACAAAACATTTTCTCACTAAATAATGTTACTTCAGTTTCTTTCCCTTAATTTATCTAGTGTCTTTTATTTAGTTTCTGTCTTTGGGGATCGCCCACCTTTAGGAACTTCCAGAAGGGAGCAAGGCAAAAATGTGTAGCTATAGTGAGGTACTGGTGGCAATGGGGTCTACACCTTGGATTTTCATTCCATTCAATTTGTTGTTGTTGTTGTTGTTGTTGTTGTGAGCCTTTAGGTTGTTTCTAAAGTAAGATGACCCATTCGCAAGATTTTCTTGGCAAGATCTTGGCAATATTCATTCAGAAGATGTTTGACATTATCTTCCTTTAAGTATGAGAAAGTGTGAATTGCTGTAGTTTACCCAATTGATTTTCATGACCAAGTAGGGATTCAAACCTTGGTCTCCACTACACCATTTAATGCGGAAGGGCCTTGGATCAACTCTGTGGCAGCCAGATGTTGCACAGAGTTTATCTGGGATAACATGGGGCAAGCTTACTTTAGCAACTTGAATTAACTGAAGTTGGGGATACTCTGGATTCTGAGCCAAATTTGCAAAAGTATCCCCTAGCTTTGGACCCATGTAAACAGTTGGGCTGATTCTGAGGTGGAAGTCACTGCTACAGTTTTCACTTCCATCCCATTCTTTCCCAGGTTCAGGTAGTGACATGGGTCCTACGGGTTGGCTGGGGCAATTGAAGAAGAAAGAGGCAAGAAGAGGGGTGATGGCCAACTGGTAGGACATATGTTATGGCGAGAGACCACCATGGCATGGAGAATTCAAAGTAATGATAAAGGTGGCTGTCCAGTGGCACCAAACTGGGTTTGGTGCTACTAGGAAGTTGGGACATCCTCCCATTTTTGCAGCATCTGGAAGGGTGCCTGTGTAATCCATCCCAGTACTGATCTGGCATATGCCATGCTAGCTCTCTCCTGGAATAGTGGGTTAGAAACACAAATTAATACTTATTTTGTTCTTCAGTTCAACAAACAAATCTAGGAAAGGCTTTTTATCTGGTTTTATGTAAAATATTCGTATATTTTACCATTTCAAGACCTCCATAAAATTTCATAAAATTTGTTTTTGTAAAACTTTGGTCTTTATGGAAAACTCAAAAGGGAAAAAACAGTGCCATCTCCAATGTTTCTGTACAACCTTTTCTCCCCAAAACAAATTGTGTAAGTGAAAAATCACTTGACAGTTGACCATTTTTTTGTATAAGGATGATTTCCCTGTCAAAAGTATGCTCTTGACCATTGAGACAGGTGCATAAAAGGATTTAACTGCAAAGCCGATTTCTTGAAATGCTTTAATATAGCACTTAGCCAAGATCAATCATCCTTATTAACCTGATTAGCGACAGTTATGGAGGTACAGGTATCTACCGATTAGAAAATTAATCTAGGTATATGGTCAGTTGATATGATTAAGACTTTCAGGATAAACACTGCTTTTCATCTACTTCCTGATAGTTTGTGAAGCCATTTTTAAAGCAATCTTTGAATGTTATTATTCATTTTTAAGTTCACACATTTCATTTTGTACTGCTTTTCCTTTTACTTTCTCACTAGTTTTAATCATTTGGCAAATTATTCAATAGTCTGTTTTCCTTTTCTTTCTTTCTTTCTTTCTTTCTTTCTTTCTTTCTTTCTTTCTTTCTTTCTTTCTTTCTTTTGGGAAGCACTGAATGCAATATGAAAATATAGAATGCTTCCTTGATTCAGTTTTTAGGTTGATATGTATGTACACAGACAGATAGATCTATATACAGAAGATACAAAGAAAACAGCAGAATTCAATAGGGTATTTCCATTATTTACTCAAGTAATCCCCATACACAATGTGTGCTGCTTCCATGATATTGGATTTAGCCTTTTATTGTGTATTTTTGTTTTGGTACTTGAAAGAGCTGTGGTTCTAAGTCATCTCTGACACTTTGAGGTCACAAGAATGTGGCATGGCAAGCAGTCAAAAAACGAAACATGCTTCTTGCCAAATTCTTGTTTCTACAGCTCATTTTCGTGGCTGAATAACTGTAGCAACAGTGGCTTCTTAAGAATTTACGTAATGCCTTTTTTACAATATGTACCATATGTTGATTGCTGAAGATGGTTGCTACTATGTAGGCTGATAACAGCTGAAAATCACGATACAGTTTAGATTACATGTTTCTAGATATATGAAAGCAAACCTGTAATCTTCTGCTACAGGACAAGGAAAATGATTAGGAATTACACATGGTATGAATAATACTAGAAACAAGCATTGTCTGTGGAGATGGGATGTTTAAAAGTGTCTTTATAAAGTTGATAACTTGCCTTTGCAGGCCAATACTATGCTGTAGTAGGTATTTGGCATTTTGCTGAGTAGCAAAAGAAGGAAAAATCATTAAGCAGCATGGTATTCAGATTATGTGACCTGTTAAATAGTGGTACACTCCAAAGGGTTCACAGCACAGCAGTAAAGTCAGGTGTTATAATACTGCATGAAATGTTTGTGCTAGCATTAGGCTATTTTAGGTATGCTTGAGGATGTATTTTATCTTAGTACAAAGTTGTGGGTTAAACTTTGAGAAGAAATTGTTTCTTTAAGAGTCATGCCATGTAGTTTTCTTAGTAAACAATGTTTAAATACACCTTATACATTGCCCTATATACTCATGTATATCTAGAAATTCAGTTTAAAAATCAACCTCAAAAAATCTGGGTTGATTTATCTGTGGGTCAGCGTGAGTACTGTACCTTAACTTTATTTTAAAAAAAGGAAACATTCCCTTCTCTGAATAGAGTGGTGCAAGGCAAGAACTTAGGCCCCTTCTACACTGCCATATAATACAGATGATCAAATCAGATAATCCACATTATCAGCTTTGAACTGGATTATCTGAGTCTACACTGCCATAAATCCAGTTCAAAGCAGATCATCAGGATTTTTATGGCAATATAAAGGGTTCCTAAGGCCATTCTACAGAGTTAACAGGCACCAAAGAGAATGCTCTCTTGCTCATGCCCACCAACCAAGCTTGAGATGGAGGTTGGACCAAGAGAAGAGCCTCTCCTGAAGATCTCAGGACTTGGGCAAGTTTGTATAAGGAGATGCGGTCAGCCAAAAAGTCTATGGCTTTAAAGGTCATAACCAGCACTTTGAATTGTGCCCAGAAACAAACTGGCAACCAAAGAAGCTGCTGCAATGGGAGTTGTCCACTCCCTATATTCAGCCTCACTTGACTGCATCTCTTTGGACCAGCTGAAGTTTTCAAGCACTCTTCAAAGGCAGCCCCATGTAGAGTATGTTATAGTAATCCAGATGTAACTAAGGCATGTACCCTGTGGCCAAATCTGGCTTCTTAAGGAATGTGTGCAGTTGGTGCACAAGTTTTCCTTGTGCAGCGGCCCTCCTGGCCACCTCAGATACCTGGGCCTTCAGGTTCAGTGCTGAGTCTAAGACAGTGGTTCTCAACCTGGGGTCCCCAGATGTTTTTGGTCTTCAACTCCCAGAAATCCTAACAGCTGGTAAACTGGCTGGGATTTCTGGGAGTTGTAGGCCAAAAACATCTGGGGACCCCAGGTTGAGAACCACTGGTCTAAGAGGAACCCCAAACTGCAGATCTGTGTCTTCAGGGAGAGTGTAGCCCCATCCAACACTGGTAGGATCCCTATTTTCTGATCTTCCTTCTGACTATACAAGATATAGGACCTTATCACATTGGGATATAATCTGTTTATATCAGTATGCATCCCATTTTTAAAGGACTGGATGCATACTGATTTTCGTGGTGGTTTCACTACAGACTGCAACTTGGAAAACTCCAGAGGTTTTCTTTGATCTGGCTTTATCAAATTATAAAAATAGAACAACCTCAAAACAAAAGTGATTTATAAAATGTATTCAGTATTAATCACTTACTTTTTTCTACAATGAAGGAGTAAGAAGTCCCTTTAAAAGATATGTCTATTTTCTATTTACAAATGTGCCTCAATAGTCTGTGGACTGAAAATGAAGCTGGGAAGAAATGGATTATGGAACACATTCTCATTAATCTTATTTAAGTTCTGTTGAAATTGCATCATTTGTAATTAAAGTGTCTCTTTAATGTCACCGGAATTCCAATTTGTCTCTGTTTGGCAAAAAGTTAACCACTTTCCAATTCCCTATGGACTGTAATACAAGAGATCAAGACTTGTATGACTTTGAATCAGTTACCAAAATCATGCTGAGAAAATGCTAATTAAGGAAGAAAATAGCAGTTGCATTTGTTATTGTTGTGTGCCTTTAAGTTGCTTCTCACTTATAACCCTATAATGGGTTTTTCTTGAAAAAAAAATCTCCGCAGCTTTGTCTTTGCTTTCCTTTGAGACCGAGAGACCTGCCCAGTGTTACCCAGTGGCTTTCCATGACCAAATAGAGATTTGAACCCTGGACAAAAGATACCACCATATTGGCCTATGTATTTTATACATTATAATAATCTAGAATTCTAAATATCATAACTTTTGTGATGGCTCCCATGGCTAGATTGTTTTGTCTTGGTTCTTCCAGCAAGCAGGAGTGGTTTAAAAGACTGAGTATGTTCCATGGTTTCTCATAATGTGTGAATAAAACATTCTGGCTTGTCTCTAAGCAAGTACTAAATCATGGCTTATGGGAGACATGGGCAGAAGTTCCATAACTTGTTTGCTTGGCAAGTTTCAAGTAAGATGGATTTGGTTTTAGGGATTGTGATGTATAATGGATTGTTTTTAAGTTGTTTTAATTACTGTTTATATATGTTTTATTTTTATCTTGTTGTTGTGCTGGCATCGAATTGTGCCTTTTGTAAGCCACCCTGAGTCCCCCCTCGGGGGTTGAGAAGGGCGGGGTAGAAGTGTGAGAAATAATAAAAAAATTGTCTGATTTTGAGGCATCAGTACAACCAATTATTACTGAAGTTCAACCACTGCAAGTCTGCCATTAAAAAAAAAACTCTTTCAAATTTTCAGGTATCTAGCATCTGCCGGGCAGCTCTACATGCTGGAGTAATCCGCAATGAAGGGGGCTTTGTTGATGTCATGCCAGTGGATAAAAGAAGAATGTACATTGCTTCATTTCAAAATGGCATTTTTTCAGAAAGGTATAAAGCACAACTTTGAATGAAAATTGTTTACTATCCACTTGCATACACCTGCTTTTCTGTGCAGCCCTTCATTCCAATTTTAAGTACTTTGACCATCTGTCATGGTAATTAAGAGGACTGAGTTGCATAACAGTAGCAATTGCCAGGAAGAGATGCAGTGGTACCAGAACTGGCTGTCTCCTGTAACTTAAAATTATAACCCTAAAAGCTGCTTATGGATAAAACAACTCTCTTGTTCAATGGTAATGTTTGTTCGAGAGAATTTCATGAATTTTCTTTACAGATGTCAAACTTAATTTCTCTTTCTGCCCAGGTAATATAGAAAGGACATATGCAAACCACAAAATGTAGTCTTGGAAAGTGGCATCCTTAAGCTAAGTTTGATTTGAAGCACAACACTTTGACTTGGACCACAAATCTGGCCTGATTGTTGGAAATCCAAATATTCATGCCTACTGTTGACTGTAACTGGACGTTCAGATTTGGCTGTAACTGTTTTGTTTCTCAGAATTGGATGAAATTTGCACACATAGTCGCTTCTTAGCATGGAGTCATGCCTGCCAAACTTAGAAGAGAATTTCATGCTGTGATATATATATATGTCTGCCCATCTATCTATCAATTATTTTCTTGGAAAAATCAGAAGATGTTTGCAAACATACTGACCAGTTCCAAAAAAATTAAGTCTGTCATGTTACAGAAAGATAGTGGATGTATTTATTTGAGATATTTGAAACTAACATAAAGCAGCAATGATACAAACACATAACTATTTCTGATTCATTTCTATTTCTATAACAAACCTAGAAATAGAAATAAATCCGAAAGAGTGGGAAAATAATAGTAGGGAAACTTTCAAAGTAATAAAAAACCCTATCAATCAGTGCATTACATGTTTTTATCCAGAAAGCCTTCTAAAATCCAAATTATTTTGTCTTGATATTTTTTCAGAGTTTAAATAGATTAGAATAACAGACTTCTCTAGTCAAAGACGTTGCCAGGCAAAGAATCACACAGTCTTGATGCTACCACTAAAAAGATCCTGCTCCACATAATTATATGTCTTATCTCATATCGGAATCAGAACATAGAAACACCACAAATCCCAGAATTCATGTCCTGCATAGAGGACAATTGTAATCAAGAATTACATTTTTTAAGGTCTTGAGAGAAAACTAAACAAGATAGGGCAGACAACCTTTTAAAACCAGAAGCTCTCACATTCTCAAGTGGGGCATCCAAACAGCACCCCACTTAAAAATGAATTTATTCACCGCAAAGCAAGAAAACACTGCTTTGTAACAAATTAATTTGTTAGTGGGTTTGTTCCATGCCTTTTCGAAAGGTGTGGGGCAAATCTATTATGGCTGCTGTCTGGACTGCCCACTCAGAAGTCCTGGGACTTCTGAAGGGGCCATCCGCACAGCCGTCTCACGTTTTCCAGCCTGAGTCAAGTTGGAAAATGCGAGAAGGGCCTAACCCCCCCCCCCCCCACACACACACACCCAAACCCTTTTAAAAATAAAAGAATTTACCCGGCTGCTGTTAGCATGGTGCCGGAGCTCTCCTGACGCATAGGGGTGACATGCCAGGAGAAAGGAGGGAGGAGGAAAATTGCTTCTGCCTCCCCGCTTCTCCTGGCATGTCATTCCTACACACCAGGAGAGCTCCAGCGCCATGTTAATGGTAGCCAAGCAAGTTCTTTTATTTTCAAAAAAAGTTTTTTGGGAGTGGGTTGAGAAGGGGGTGGGGTGGGGACTATCTCCCTGTTCTCCTGGTAGGTATCGGGAAGACATGTAGACAATGCCCAAGGAAAGCACAAGCTTTTTTGATGGTATATGGACTACAGTCTACCCTGACCAGACTTTTTAAACTTGGATCGGAACGGACTTTACCACTGTCTTGAACTGCTCATAGTCTAACTATATGGATAGGTTCATGACTAAAATAAGGGTGCATGGTAAGTTTGGAATTTTATAAATTAACTTATATGAACAATAATCTACTTTATTTCCTTCTCCAGCTTACAGAATCCTCCAGGAGGTAAAGCATTCAGAGTGTTTGCTGTGGTTTAAAGACTACAACAAAATTTTCAAAAACAATATCAAAAGACTGTTTGGAAGAAGAGAAAGAAAATTCCATTTAATCTACTTCCTTGAGTTTGTATAAAGGTGTAATATTGCTGTACAGAAGATATTTACTATTTTCTGATTGAAAAAGTGTTTAACTTCATGTAAATCTTAATGGGGAAACTCTGTAAAATCAAACATGGGAAAACACGTAAAAGGAACTACAATGAAAAATATCTTGTTTTGAATCCTGTGTTAAATATTGCTATATTTTCTTAGCATTTTTCCTATGCAGTTCAAAGTTCAGAAATGTTTCATAGTTTTTTTTAAAAAAATCTGAGTACACTTTCATGATGATATTATATATATATATATGCCACTAATATTAAATGTAAAGATATATGTATTAAAGATGTCATTCTCATATATATATATATATATATATATATATATCTGTTTCTTAAACTGGGAAACAACACTGGTGCCCTTAAGGAAGCAATCAATGACAGGTGTTACTAGACAATTACCTGAACAGAAACCCAAAGAAATTCATGTTTGCTAGTTTTACTGTCAGACTTCTAGAATGATGTAGGTGTTTAAACATTGGCCTTGGGGAATATCTGCACTGACCACTTCATGTGGATTGAAGACAGCTTAAAAGATGTGGTGTTTAAATGGCGCATGATGTGAATGCATACAATAATGCAAATTAAGGTCTTTAAACTGATATAAATACAATCAGGATACTCTGAAATAAAGCATGTAATCAGCTCACATAGTTATAAATCACATTAAATGGTGAAGCCGATTAAGGGAAAGATACTCTGTACATTGGCTTTGGAAGGAGGGAGTTGGAAAGAAATCCTACAGGGCTGCTGATTCTGGAACTGTATTGCAGACAACTTCTCTGGTCTTTACCGGGTTCCAGGGCTTCACATATAATCCTCATATTGAAATCACTTCCTCCTTTGCTGGATTTACATCACCTTAAGTGTTCAGTGTAGATGTGCTCTAGGACTCTGGGTTCAAATCCCCACTCAGCCACAGAGACCCACTGGGTGACCTTGGTCAAGTCATGCTGTCTCATTCTCAGAAGAAGGAAAAGGAAAACCTTGCCAAGAAAACCCATGATAGGGTCTTCACACTCTCTCCCAACCTCTTTAAGAAAATATGAGTTTAAACAGATCTTGGAACCCTGCTTACTGATATTTTAAAATACATTCATGGCTATGGTTGGGTTTTTTTGATACGATTTTTTAAAAGGAAAACATAATCAGCAGTTACTAATTTGCTACTAAATAATCATTTGCATAAAGAAATACAAAAGATGACATGAAAGCTGAGTGGTTTTATTTTGGAAGCAAATCAGGCATTATTGGGTCTGACATTCTAATAAAGCTTTAGTGTAAACTGAATTATAATTCCTTTTGCAATGTCATTTCCCACAAATGGCTTTACAAGTATGATTTTGCTTGTAGGACTAATACCACATAGTATGTATGTTGCCATGTATAATATTGGAGAATGGTGAAATTGCACTGTAAATTATTATTTGTTATTATTTCAAACATTTATATCCCATCCTTCTCAACAAACAATTGCAGTACAAACAATTAACATTAAGTAAACCAACAAGATTATAAAAATACATTAAAATATTGACCATTAAGTATTAAAACACAATGGAGCCTAAGTCCCAAATCCAAATCATAATCCAGAGTTCCAGTCCAAGGTCTATTCATTGACAATTCTCATAAGTCATTGCAATTGCTGCTTGATCAGCTGCCCAAATGCTTGGTCCCAAAGCCAAGATTTAAGCTTTTTTCTAAAGGAGAAGAGAGAGGGAGTTTCCCTGATATCACTGGGGAGTGTGTTCCATAGATGGGGGGCGCCACCAAGAAGGCCCTGTCTCTTGTCCCTGCCAATCATGTTTGCAAGAGTGGTTGGATTGAGAGCAGCTCCTCCCCTGATGAAAGTAAACTCTGAGGTGGATCATAGAGGGTGATAAGTTTGGACACATAAACTGGGCCAGAACCGTATAGGGCTTTATAGATCAAGACCATCACTTTGAATGGTGCTTGGAAATGAATGTGTAACATAGAACCCAAATATTAATTTCTTTGTCTGGCATATATTCCTGCAGGGCAGGATATGATGCAAACTCAGTTATTTCATTTGATCTCATTTATGCAAAATAGCCCTTTGCATTAAATCCTACCATATTGTGGTACATTAGGGAAAGATGTATTGTGTTATGCTGTAAAATTGCTAAATATTTTTGTGTGTGTGTTCTTTTTTTTGTATCTTTATCATTTGAATTTTATATTTGCTTTCAAAATACTATTGATATGTATATGCATCACAGTATTAGTTTGTTGTGCTACATGTACTACCTCATGTAGTTAGGCAAATATTGTTAGCTTTTTTTTGTAGAAAAACCTTTTTGAATAAAATTCAATTAAATGACAAAAATAATCTTTTTTTAAAAAAAAATATATCTGGAATCAATGCAGTTTGGTAATTATTTTTAGACTACAATTCCCTGAAGCTGTTCTGGGAGTTCTGTAATTCTGGGAGTGGTGGTCCACAATAGTAACTTTTTTAGATTCCATAAAAATATATACTTGGTGTATTACTCTCATATACATCTTCCTCACATGTGTTGCACCCCAATACAAACACAAAAGGAAGTTAGTGATTCAATGGCAGATAACATATTTTGCATGCAAGAAGTCTCCAGTTTATTGCCTCTTGAAGTATCTAAATCAGACAGCAGAGTTTGGAAATATCTGAAACTGAACTACTTAATGATTCTGCTGTTGAGAGCCTGTGCTTTTTAAAGAGATGCAACATTTCTAAGACAGATTAAGACAGCTCTTCATGCACATCTTATGTAACCAACCATCCGGTTCTGGCAGGGAAAATGAACACAGAATTTCAGCGTCGTCCATAATCTCGCCAATTTTCTTTGTTCCCTAGAATTATCTCACAGAGAACAAACATTGGGTTGTTGTAGGGTTTTTTTTTTTGGGCTATATAGCCATGGTCTAGAGGCATTTCCTCAAGACCAAGGCCATATAGCTTGAAAAAACCTACAACAACCCAGTGATTCTGGCCATGAAAGCCTTCGACAATACATAGAACAAACATTATAGTTAGGCCACAAACCTGCCTCTCTCTCTGCCCTCAGTTTTCATTCTGCCTACTACTGCATTGCTTTGGAAGCAATTTATTAGCAGCCAGCAGGCCAAAAAATAAAAAATCATAGAGTTCAACTTCTTTAATTTTTTTCCTGGAACTCCTACGTCTTTCTCCTTTTTTCTTATTCTTTTTCTGAACCTCCCTCTGTTTCCACAACGAATGGGCTTCTGCATTAGAGTCAGTATTATGTATTATCCTAGTGCTGCAGATTGACAATCTTTGAGAACTCCTGGAGAACAGAGAAGCCCCAGCAGACTGCAGAAGGGTAAATGATGTCCACATCTTTACAGAGAAACAAGAAGAAGATCCAATCAATTACTGTCCAGTCATCTTGAGAACAATACTAGGAAAATTTGTAGAGCAGATTATTAAACAGACAGTGTCTAAGCATTAAGAAGGAAAGGCTGTGGTCACTAATAATATGGGTTTCTCAAAAACAAGTCATGTCAGACTAATCTTTTCTCTTTTTTGATATCATTTTAAGCCTGGTAGATGAAGTAAATGCTGTGAGTGTAGTATACCTTGATTTCAGTAAAATAACTAGTAAAATATGGGCTAGACAATGTCACATATTTAATTGGTGCTCACTTATTTCCCCTTTATCTAGAGAGAAGTGTTTGGTGAGGTGCCACGGGATACGGTCCTAGACACAGTGCTATACAACATTGTTATAAATGACTTGGATGATAGGATACAGCACATAATTATCAAATCTCCAGATTATCCCAAATTAGGAGGGGTACATAGTGATCCAGAGGACTAAATCAGAATCCAAATGACTTAAACAGAGTTGTGTCAAAACTAACAAGATGAATTTAAACAGAGAGAAGCATAAGGTGCTAAACATAGAAGAAATGAAATGCACAGATTTAGGATGGGTGATACCTAGCTTGACAAAAGAGCATGTGAAAGAAATCTAGGAGTGCTAGTAGACCATAAGCTGAACAGGAGTCGATGTGATGCAACAATTAAAAAAGCGATGTGATTCTAGGCTGCAGGAATAGAAGTATAGTATCTAATAGGCTTGTGCATGGATCAATTTTCAAAAGAAGTCTTTGGCTGGTTCAGTTGGTTTGGATGCCCATAATGGCATGGGCTCAGTTTTATTGGTCACAACAGAACAGTGGCTGTTGAAATTCAGCTGTTTTTGGTTTCTTTCAGTTTCTCTTGGAGGGCAGGGAGGAAGGCAGCCACTAGAAGGGAAAGGATCTCAGAAAGGGTGATTTCTTAAGCCCTTACCTTAAACCCAGGTCCTCTCTAAATGCAGGGAAATGATCGCAGGAAGCAGGTTTTCTTAAGCCTGCTCTTAAACCTGGGTCTCCTCTAAAGAGATAAGGGAAAGGATTGCAGGAAGGGGGGTTTCTTAAGCCCTTGCCTTAAACCTGGGAACACCCCCCCCCCACTGCCATACATTGGTCAGCTTGAAAATGAATCATCTTCCTGGATTGAAAACAGATTTATTTCCTCCCAAATTTGGGAGGTTCCCAAAAAATGGATCGGGGCCCCTACCGAAATCCGGGACACTGAAATAGATCAAGGTTTACCTGGATTGCAACAAGCCTAGGATCTAGATCACAGGAAGTATTAATCTGCTTTAGCTAGACTTCTGGGCATCAGAACTCAAGAAGGATATTGAAAAACAGTAACATGTTCAAAGGAAGGCAAACAAAATTGTAAAAGGCTTGGAAACGATGTTGCTCAATAAAGAGTGGCTTAGAATGCTGGGTATGTTAAGAATGAAGAAGAAAATGTTAAAAGGTGACATGATAGCCATATTTAAATATTTGAAAGAATATATTATTGAAGATGGAGCCAGCTTGTTTTCTGCTCCTCCAGAGACTAGGACACTGTATTCAATGTATTCAA